TCTCGTATAGCGAAAAAGATAAATAAAAATTATATATATAATGAAAGACACAAAGGTCACATGTCATATAATATAGTTAAATAGAGGAAACCTGCTAACAGGTAAAAATCTCTAAACAACAAACAGGTAAAGAAAATAAAACAAACAAAGTAAAGTCTTACTACCAAAGTAGGAGATCAGATAAAAATTGTGTATATATAATACCTAAGTTATTCTTTAGATTCTCAAGGGAGTAAAGTACTATCTTACAGAAAGAATATTATCAACACAGATTTTCTATGACACGTGTTAAGCTTAACATATGTTTGTTGTTTGTATATGGCATGGGAAACAACAGACGATATCCAATAGTATTTGTCAATACGTAATATAGATCTTTTGGAGGGGGTAAGCCAAATTCCCCAAAATACACCAAATGGTTTAGAGAAAAAAATCTAAAAGACAAGATCAAAAGAGACCACTTCTAAGAAAGTAAGATTTTGCTACTTGTTTTCTTATTAAACAGTATAAATATATATTATATCTAGCTATTCGCATGCTAGCAAACTACTAGTGAGCGTCACTTGAAATAACAAAGATATTTGATAATTTTTCTTACTTCTGCTACTACTTTTTTGATAGTATCCAAGAATTACTTCTAGATAATGCAGCTAAAAAGAGCTTGCAAGGAAGGTATTCACCTACAATATATCATAAAATACTTAGGAAAGAATATTATTATTTGTATAATAAAAAAATATTTTCGCAGGTCAGGTTTTCTTTTCAGAAAAAAGTGGTCAGAGGATCAATGAAAAGAGTTAATTTGATTAATAAAATTAGTTAAACTTAATATATTAATAGATTATAATATAAAAATAAAATTTTCTATATATTTAATTTATTTAATATATTTATATATATAATTTATATTAAATAATTATAAACAAAAACAAGGTTCTCAGTAATCCTTTCTGCTAATTACTAAAACCTAATACAAAGTAACAATAAAAATTTAAAAACAATATCTAACAAGAAATATTATTATATAGTACAAGAAATAAAGCTTATAACTAGATTGAGTATATTAGTATTATACTAATATCTCTAGTTTATAAGTAGCTTACTGAAGCAAAGCTGCTGACTTTAGTAAGTCTTAGTATTTTTTTATTTACTTATAGCTAAAGTAAAGACTAAATACAACCCTACTAAAACTGCTTAGACTAGGTTAAGCAGTAATACTATCTTTTTATTCTAATTAGAGTTTTTATACCTGTTAATCTTTAGTCTTTTCTATAATTTGAAAACTTTGAATAACTTTCTATATTTATGTCATAATCTTTTTGCAAATTTTATTTGTAAAAAGTGAGGATTTGACTACTCTCTATAAAAAGATCAATATTCATATAACCTGTCTATTTTGAGAAAAGATTACGTAAACAAAACAGATAATTTGTTTTATTTACTAAGAAGCTAGCATATATGATAAAGCTAATTACTGATTGTAACTAATTTAGATTAATAATAATAAGAGCAAATTAATTAAAGATATAGAACATAATATTAGTATTTTATATAATTTTTACAAGTAGAGTAGTATTTAGAAGAAATTTATTTAGCTTTGCTAATAAGTTTTTTTTATCTAAGCCTCTTCTTTTTTTCATTTTTCTTTATATTTGTTTTTTCTTCTTTTTTTTATTTTTGAGTCTTTCTTAAGCAAGATTAATTATGATAAACAATTATAATATGCTTCCAATATGCTTCAGTAAAATAATTGAGAATTAAGTTTAAAACTTATACTCTTTTATAAAAAGAATAGTTAGGTATAACAGATCGTGAATAAGTGCTACTTAGTAATTAGATGAGTCACAACTTGTAAGATAATAGCTTAGGCTAATAATAGAGATCATATATGTAGAGACTTATTTATTTTTTATAATAAAGTTGTAGCATGATTGCTAAATGATAAAAAAATAAAAAACAAAAGCAAGATTTTCTTGTAAGAAAAAAAATTAACTAAAAATTTTATTAAATTTGAATATATTTATAAACTTTCAAATTAAACTTCAAATTAAACTAAATACAACTAAAAAAAATCAAACTTAATCTAAACCAAATATTTTTTTAATCTTGTTTAAGTTTGAGTTTAGTTTGATTTTTAAACTAAATTTGAACTTGATACAAAGCTTAGTTTAGTTTAGTTTAGTAAAAACACTAGCTTAATATAAAACTAATTAAATACAATAATAACTAACATTGTACATGTAGCTAGTTATATACTCATTATGTAATTACAAATAGTATAAGTTATTCTTGAGTACTTTATAGTTCAAATTAATAAAAACTAATTGGCAAAGAATACTACTTTAATATTAATTAAAAAATTTTTCTTGGACATAAAGAAAGTATCACATGTGTTTCCGGATCCGAATTAAGTAATATATTCTATTCAGGGTCTTTCGATAAGACCGTTAAGGTTTGGGATATATTCAGCCAGGCTTGTATTAAAATCTTAGAAGACCATTCTGAAGGTGTTCAATGTTTAGCATTGGGCAAAACAACTTTAGTGTCAGGGAGCTGGGATAAATCTATAATCATTTATGATATCACAAAAGATTATAATATTAAACACAAACTCTCTGGACATATGGCTGGAATCATATCCTTAGAAATATGCTCCAACGAAACTTTTCTCTTTTCTGGATCCGTTGACAAAACAATTCGAATATGGAATCTTAATACCGGCGAATGCTTGCATCGATTGTATGGCCATGACGGAACTGTAGGGGCTTTAAAGCTAATACCTAAATCACTTACGCTCTCTACTGATGATCAAGAGGTTCAATATTGGCTTGTATCCGGTTCGAATGACACAAGTATTATTGTATGGGATCTCGATCAATCGTGCCTAATCCAATCATCAACTCCATCAAAAAAACCTCAAATTGTTAAAAGAATGATGGGGCATACCAGGGCTGTAACTTGTTTAACCTGGCATGAAGATATTATCAAACAGATCATTGAACACAATCAAAGACATTTCGATTCACCGAATCCAATTCATATTAATACTATGCAATTATTATCTAGCTCGTCTAGTTCGTCTCCTCAATCAAATATTAATGAAGATAATGAAAGTGACGAAAATAATATGGATCTTGATTCTAATGTATCATGTTACGATCAAGATACAAATAATGATCACAATGAAAATCTTCGCCAAAATTTTCACAATCGTTTCAATTCGCAAAATTCTTTATTACCTACGAATAATACTGTACCTTCACCTCCCCTTAGCCCTAATACTGATATCATGCAAATAAGTGATTCAGATAAACCATTAAAAACAATACCTATTTTTTCTGCTTCTGCTGACTCAACAATTCGCATGTGGGACATTTTGATTGGAAAACCTCTTCTCTATACTAATGATCATAATGATACAGTATGGGAAATTCAATGTAATTCATCGCGTCTCGTTTCTATATCCTCCGATGGACTTATTAAAACGCGTAAATGGCGATGTAATCATAGCCATATTGAAAACCAACAAATAGGATTTGACTCATTAATAACTACGGAAATCCAACCGTGCCTTAAAATTTCTTGTCCCGCAATAACACTTACTCGAGTTGATCGCGGCGTTACGTGTTTCAAAATGACGCATGAATGGTTGGTCTGTGGAACAGAAGATGGCGTCTTAATAGCTCTGAAATTCTTTTAATCTCAGGATTAATTTTTACCGTTTCGAAATTAAGATTCGATAATCAATTAAGTATAAGTATGCGATCGTTTAATATGTTTCTCTCCCCTCTCATAGTATGTACATATGTATTCAAGAAAAAAAAAAAAAGAGTGAGAAAAAAACACACACACACACAAACATAAAAAAAAAAAATTGAGAATCGTTGATAATTAGAGAGAAAGTACAATCGTGTGGGGCAACACGCGCTCCGTTTATTTCCCCTTTCTGTGAATTCAATAATAAGCCGCAGAAAAAAAAACTACAATATTAATCATCGTCGTTTGATTTAAAAAAAATAATAAATTTATCAATTCATTCTATATATGATAAACTTGAATTTTCCGAAAATCCGAATTTGTGTACACCTTTTAACCAAATTAAGTAAACATCAGTTAAATGATTTTTAATAACATGAAACATGCAGAAATTTTGAGAACGGCTTTTTTTAATCGTATGTTGTTTTCTCAGCGTCAGATCAAGGTTAGGTGTTAATCTGGCAGATATCGATATTTAATTTGACGCACTCATATATTTTAGGATAAATTAAATTAATTGAGTATTAATAAAGCGAATTGACGCTTCCGCACCATCACATGTCAGACTAAAGGAAATTATTATCGTTATTCAAACTTGCTTGACACGAATCTAAATTTCTATTCTAGTGATTCCGATTTTCTGTTTATTTCAAAATGAAATTTACAATGCAAGTTTTAATTTTATTAATTGTGTAACACTGTAAACCAATATTATATTTTTCCGTGAATCAGTTAAGCTTACCAAAATTTATTTTTTTAATGTAATTATAAATGGCGTAGGAAATATAGGTGGGGCAATTTTTTATCTTACCCCTAACTTTCAATTGAATTAGACGAATTGTTGTGATATCTTCGATTAAAGTTGCAAAAAAATAAATAAAATAATCTGCATTATAGTGGATGTAGAATTATAAGTTTTAAATGTTAAGCTTTATAACTTTCTTTTTACTTATTTTCTAAAGTGTAATAATAGTGTAAGGATCTACGTTCTAGCATATTTTCTTGAAAGTATTAATAATCTCAACAAGGTTATCTGACATTACTATAATGCTTGTTATTATTTAGTATGTACCTCAGATTAACACTTGCATCTAGATTACAGCTGACGCTCATGTGAGGTTCGTAATTACACATAAAAGAAAGTAAAATAATAAGACAACAAAAGGCTTTTATTTTAGTTTGAAGTTTTTTTTTTACAAATCTCTTCGACACCTTTTCTTCCACCTTTAATTATAGTATTGAGTTCTTAGTAGTGCTTCGATCTGTAATCCAATATAATCTGGATAATCTGTTAGAATAGGATCAAAGCACTAGTTCTTAAGAATCTTTTCCCCCGCCTCTAGTTACTGTATCGAGTTCTTCAACATTTGAGGTGGCAAATTTTATTTCAGAATATTTTAGGTTATGTTATCTTGAGATATGCTATTTATAAATACTAATTTAATATTATCCTTTAATTTGTAGGCTATTTCCAGGCAAATTTGCCTGGAAAATTTGTGTAATACTGCTATGATCTATATTTTTATAAAATTAAAA